CCCCCAGAAACCATTAAGATTGACATTTAAATCGTGAAAATCCGATCATTAAAACAAAAGTTATTCAGGGTGATATCATTTTTTTTGCGGACTGTACATAATGTAAACAATGGCACCAGAAACTGTATTTAATAGGAAAAGTATTCAGTACAGACTCAATTGGACCAAAATTGAGTCATAAAATTTTTTCATAAAAAAATATTATTATATGAAAAAACATGATGTAAAACTAGATATTGAGATATTTATATTGGTTTAATTCTATTTTTGTGTAATCCAAATAATAATAATAATAATTTCTGGTAATTTCATTCAAGTTTAAATATTTCTTCAGATGTTGTCTGCTGTTATTGCTGTTAAAATCCGGATCATGTTAGGTTATGTTAGACGAAAGGCAGTTCATTGATTATAAATTTTGTTATAATTCTTCGAATGAGATAGCAGTTTACTTCATTTTTAGAGAAATGATGAAGGATTCTTCATAAGTAATATTGAGATACGGTGGCTCAAGAGACATGGCGCTCGTTACCAAATGAGGCTACCCATGTTCGAATCTCGGCTGTGGCTAGTTGATATGAAGCCTGCTCTCGGCTTGCACTGACTACTGTGCTGATATAAAACATTCTAAGTGTTAGACGGATTATTGGTTGGTCTTCCCTTCTAACAGGGAAGTTATCGTGATTTTTCTCTCCAATTAAGGCAAATGCGAGTTGGTTCCCTCACATACTCTTCCATGAAGGCTAGTTTTTCCAATGCTTGATCAAGGAGGTTTCTTTGTCTTTCGATTTGGGTTCAAAATTAGTAGGTTTCGAAGTTGATAAGTGACAGTCATTTGCTTAGAATCGGGTCGCAGCTGTACAACAGCGGCTGTAAAATAAAAAAAAATAAAATATGTAATTTTTTAAAAATGAATTGAAATAACGGAGGGGAAAATGGCACTTGAAAATGTTTTATATCAAACAAATCATCTCCATTCTGTCCAAAACCACTGCACAAAAATTTGTATTTTCTAAGAAACTCAACACACTATAAAAGAATGTAATTTAGTACCTACATATATTAAAATTTAAGAAATTGCATGCAAAGTAAACAAATGTCATAAACTTAAAAAATTTAAAGTAGAACCTTTCTCCTAAAAATTTTAATTACCTTAAAATTACTATTTCGAACATATTTTCATTAAGTTTTTAAGGAGGATCCAGAGTGATTTTTATTATGTAGTAGCTTGACCCACCCATTGAAGTATCAACTTACCTCTTAGTATATGAACTGAAAAATAAAACTGAAGTCTAAATGGAATTATTCCAGCATTTATTTTATTTATCTATATTCGAGTTTGCATAATCATTTAGATATTCAATTTTTATGAAGAAAAAATGTGCTTCAAAGATATTCTCTCTGCTATAATCAAATGCAAGAAGACTTTTTAGTATTTATTCACAATATGATTGTACTTAAGTTGTGTAAAATTAAAAAGATATTTTGATGCGTAGCACAGTTGTTACACTTGTAAATAAAAAGAAACGCCATCAAATATTATTACTATTTTATTAAGACTGTTTAATTAAATAAAATATATCCATGTTTAATCTTATTCTTAGGGCAATTTATTCCGCTTCCTCCAGGTAAAAATTTCCTTAATTTTTGTAAAACTAAATTTACATTTTCTATAGAAATGATAATGTAAAAAATATAAAAGTATTTATAATCTTATGGCGTCATCAAAGACTCATCGCATAGAACGTCACACAGAACGTCATCTTCATTAAAATGCTTCGCGGCTGGAAGAAGCCGATCTCTCAAGATGCAAATCAGCTTTTCCAGACGGCGAGCGCCTACACTCAAGGAGGATAAAAAGCAGCTAAACGTCGATCAGAATGCAACTTCTACTTCAGCTCTCACCCAGAGATGTGTGCTGGACCTAAGCTGCCGAGTCCCGATGCACCGATGTCTTTCTACTTACTGCGATGATGGACTTTATTTTGTAAAACGCTTTTTAGAATTTTAGTCGTTTATGAAAGAAATAAACAGAGTTATAGTTATCAAACGTTCTGGTATCTTCTAAGCACTTCCAAACACTAAAGATGGTGACCCCAGGAGTAGAACTAATTTGAATAGAGTCTTGCAAGATTCAAGAAATTTCCGCACGTAAGTTTCTTATTTTTGCTCATAAAAGGTCTTTCTGATTGCCCTCTGCCGTACTAGGAATATTCTATGCCTTTTTTTGCATTCTTTTCTACAATGCCTACTGATAGTGAAATCATGCGTGTGGCTGTTAAAACACCTCCTGTTTGGCGGGTTAATATAGAGCTGTGGTTTAGTAATATTGAGTCCCAATTAGAAATTGCGACCATTACTGCGGATGGTACAAAATTTCACTACGTTGTTTCTGCTTTGGGCAGTGAGCTTTCGTCTCTTGGCTCTGACATAATTAAAAACCCTCCTGCTAAAGATGCCAACGTAGCTCTCAAAAAACGTCTAATCGATCAGTTTTCCGATTCTGAAAGTGCGCGTATTATCTGATATGTCTTTATTATCTGATATGTCGTTGGGTGATCTGAGACCGTGTCGACTTTTACACAAAATGACGCAATTGTCCGCTACTAAAGTTTCAGATGAAGTACTTAAAATGCTCTGGCTTCAACGCTTACCATTAAACATTCAACAAATTTTATCAGTCAGTTCGGATAAGTTAGAAAGTCTGGCTGCAATAGCCGACAAAATCTCTGAAATTACTAATATCACCCTTACCGTTTCCGCAATACAAGATGACTTTGATAGAATTAGTAAACTAGAAGCAACTGTTGCCGAACTGAATAAAACCATAAAGAGACTTTCATCATTTAGGTCAAAATCTCCCAGAAATAGACAGCGAAGCAAGTCTCCTGCCAGAAAACAACAGTATTCTACATGCTGGTACCATTTTAAATTCGGAAATAAAGCGCTGAAATGCAAGCAGCCATGCAGTTTTCAGGAAAACTAGCTTGATCGCAAGTTTCGGCGACGGCTGCTGCGAGTAATGATCGTAGTCGCTTATTTATTAAAGATCAAAATTCCGGTACGAAATTTCTGGTAGATAGCGGATTAACAGTTTCGGTTTATCCCGTTCAGCTTCCAGCAAAACATCTTGATAAAAATATCCAATTACTTGCTGCTAACGGCTCGAAAATTTCCACTTATGGGAAAAGGATGCTTACATTAGACTTGGGGTTTCTGCGAACTTTTCGGTGGACCTTCATTCTGGCTGATGTGTCACGGCCGACTTTAGGTGCGGATTTTCTTGAACGATTCGAACTCATTCTGGATATTAAAAATCGTCAGCTAATCGATAACACATCTGCAAAGTACATTCGTGGTTTTTACACCTCTCAGCCGAGTAATAGCATTACCGCAATAGGTAAAAATTCGGTATATCATGAACTTTTATTTAAATTTCCGAATTTGACAAATCCTTCAGTTAATGTCGTAGTTAAGGATCACGGNATTAGTAAACTAGAAGCAACTGTTGCCGAACTGAATAAAACCATAAAGAGACTTTCATCATTTAGGTCAAAATCTCCCAGAAATAGACAGCGAAGCAAGTCTCCTGCCAGAAAACAACAGTATTCTACGTGCTGGTACCATTTTAAATTCGGAAATAAAGCACTGAAATGCAAGCAGCCATGCAGTTTTCAGGAAAACTAGCTTGATCGCAAGTTTCGGCGACGGCTGCTGCGAGTAATGATCATAGTCGCTTATTTATTAAAGACCAAAATTCGGGTACGAAATTTCTGGTAGATAGCGGATCAACAGTTTCGGTTTATCCCGTTCAGCTTCCAGCAAAACATCTTGATAAAAATGTCCAATTACTTGCTGCTAACGGTTCGAAAATTTCCACTTATGGGAAAAGGGTGCTTACATTAGACTTAGGGTTTCCGCGAACTTTTCGGTGGACCTTCATTCTGGCTGATGTGTCACGGCTGACTTTAGGTGCGGATTTTCTTGAACGATTCGAACTCATTCTGGATATTAAAAATCCGTGGTTTTTACACCTCTCAGCCGAGTAATAGCATTACCGCAATAGGTAAAAATTCAGTATATCATGAACTTTTATTTAAATTTCCGAATTTGACAAATCCTTCAGTTAATGTCGTAGTTAAAGATCATGGTACTACGCACTGTATTATCACGAAAGGTCCTCCTCTCTGTTCCCGAGCTCGTAAGTTGCCGCCTCATAAATTGACTGCCGTTAAAGAGCAATTTCAGGAGACGGTCGACCAGAGAATTGCCGCCCTTCCAGCAGCCCTTGGAGCAGCCCCATACATCTGGTGCCAAAAGGGAAGAATAATTGGCGTATTTGTGGGGATTACCGCCGGCTCAACGGCTCCACGGAGCCGGACAGATATCCAATACCACACATTCAGGATTTTACTTCCGAATTACACGGAAAAGCAATTTCTACAAAACTGGATATAAACGCGATTGTCACCAGATACCTGTTGAATCTAGTGATATTCCAAAAACTGCATGAATCACCCCAATAGGGTTGTTTGAATTTAAGTATATGACTTTCGGATTAAAGAATGCGGCCCAAACTTTTCAACGGTTTATTGATGAAACATTAAGAGGTTCAAAATGTTTCGCATACCTTGACCACTTACTTATCGCGTCAACGGATTTTAAAACACATTTATCGGACATGGAGGCCATTTTCACCAGTTTAAATACTAAAGGACTAGTTTTAAATTTGGATAAATGCATATTTGGTGTAAAAGAACTTACTTTTTTGGGATGTCTTGTTTCGAAAGATAGAATCAAACCAGATCCCGACAAAAATGCGGTACTTAGCAACTATCCAAAACCAAGCAAAGTTCACGCCTTTCGACGATTTCTAGTAATTGTCAACTTCTATCGCAGATTTATTCCCAAAGCTGCAATTCAACAAATGACACTTTATGATCTAACTAAGGGCAGGAAGAAGAATGACTCCACCCCTTTAGAATGGACTGATGAATCTGATAAAGCTTTCAATATTTGCAATCAATCAATCGCAAACGCTACACTTTTAGCACATCCACATCCTAATGCTGAAATTTCTCTTTCAGTTGATGCTTCAGACTTTGGCATAGGAGCTGTATAACAACAGCATATAGCTGATAGGACTGAGCCACTTGTGTTTTTTTCTCGTCGTTTAGCACCTGCTGAAAGTAAATACAGTACTTACGACCGAGAATTGCTTGCAATTTATAATGCCATTAAAAATTTCCATTATGCACTGGAGTGTAGGTACTTCACAGTTTGTACAGACCATAAGCCTTTAATTTTCGCTTTTAACCAGAAACACGAAAAAATCTCTCCCCGTCAACTCAGGCACTTAGATTTTATTAGTCAATATACTACTGATATTAAATTTATTTCAATCAGCGATAACGTTGTCGCAGATGCATTCTCTCGTACAGAGGTAATAGATTTACCTAATACGATAGATGACGCAGCAATGGCGGAGGAGCAATCAAAAGACGCTGAGCTGAAGGAATTACAATCTAACCCTTCTTTGACGATCAAGCCGATCGTTTTTAGCTCAAGCGATCTACCGCTATACGCCCGTATGTTCCGGAGAGCTTCAGACACCTTGTGCTGAAGTCAATACATAGCTTGTCTCATTCAGGCCCCAGACCGACTACTCACGCTGTTAAACAGCGATACAATTGGCGATCTCTAAAGAAAGACTGTGCGGAATGGTGCAAGAAATGTTTGGATTGCCAGCGATCAAAAATATCACGACACACCAAAACCCCTCTTGGTCAATTTCTAACTGCGGTCGACAGATTTCGACACGTCCACTTGGACATTGTGGGACCACTTTCCCCATCGCAGGGATACACTTACATCCAAACGTGTATCGATCGCCTGATGCTATTCCCCTGAAAGATCTGTCCGCCGAAAGTGTTGCTAACGCTTTCTTTTCAGGATGGGTTGCTCGGTTCGGTGTGCCAGAGATTATCACGACTGACCAAGGTCGTAACTTTGAAAGTAATTTATTTTTAGCGCTTTCGAAGTCTCTGGGTACCAAACGTAATAGAACCACAGCTTACCACCCATCTGCAAATGGCTTGATCGAACGCTTTCACCGGCAGTTAAAGGGAGCTCTCAGGTGTAGTCTCGCCGGCACTGAAAGATGGATAGAGAAATTGCCAATCGTCTTCCTGGGAATACGAACTGCCTTAAAGGAAGATCTTAGCAACTCAACAGCAGAGCTGGTATACGGCTGTAATCATCCCCAGCCTGGCGAATTTTTTTCTTCTATATCAGGTACGAAGTCTCCACAGCAACTGCTACTATCTTTGAAGGAGCACTTCCGGTAGATTCGACCAACACCTACGTCGCGTCATGGGTCAACGGAGACATTTGTCCATGAATTCCTGAAAGACACTTCGCATGTCTTCATCCGAGACGATGCTGTCCGTCGTCTATTCCAGTCTCCTTACCTTGGTCCTTATCCGGATATCGAACGCAAGCCAAAGTTTTTTCAAGTCCAGATCGGAACTCAGAAGAGATGGATCTCAACTGATAGACTTAAGCCTGTCCATTCTTTTTCAGAGATTAGAGAGGCTCCAGTCATCCCGCCGCCGATACATCCCGTGAAGCCTGCTCTTAAGACGTCCACAACAACTCGGTCTGGTCGACACGTCCGTTTCCGGATTCCCGTGCCTCAGCGTTCTGGACAGGTGGGGGAGTCCTGTGTCCGTCATCTTCATTAAAGTGCAACGCGGCGGGAAGAAGCCGATCTCTCAAGATGCAAATCAGCTTTCCCGGACGGCGCGCACCTACACTCAAGGAGGATAAAAAGCAACTCAGCGTCGATCAGAATGCCACTTCGACTTCAGCTCTCACCCGGAGATGTGTGGTGGACCTAAGCTGCCGAGTCCCGATATACTGATGTCTTTCTACTTACTTTCATGATGGACTTTATTTTGTAAAACGCTTTTTAGAATTTTAGTTGTTTATGAAAGAATTAAACAGAGTTATAGTTATCAAACGTTCTGATACCTTCTAAGTACTTCCAAACACTAAAATCTTTTTTTCAAGTTTTAATCCGTTTCCTCCAGGTATCAGTTTGCTTAATTTTTGAAAAAATAAACATACATTTTTTCTATAAAATTGACATAAATCAGTTTAATTAGATAGAAATAGAATAAAATATGATTTATTATCAAGTGTTTCTAATCTTATTTTTAGATTTTAACCCATTTCAATCATCAGGTAACAAGATTATTTTTACTTTAAAAACTTATTGATCTGTTTATATAATTGACTAAATAATAGCAAGAACTTATTTTCTTAACCATCAACACGAAACGAAGAAATTTTTCTATCTATAGAAGTATTTTAATTCAACAATTTATTTTCGAATGAATTTAAAGTATATTCTTCCAGTTTACGCACAAGTTTTTGTTTTTTAGGATTTCTCAACCCAGCTGCTCAAGCTCCTCAAGGTAAAATTAACTGGAAATGTTTCATAAATAGCATAATATCTCTAACTTTAGCATCTCAACCCTAGTAAAGAAATCTATTAGTTTAAAAAATAAAATGATTTATAAGTACCCATATATTTTTTTAACTGTCATATTATTGGTAATATAATAATACATTTATTTAAAGCCATAGTTATTCAATATTAATATCAATATTTTCGATATCATTATCGCTTTTATTATTATTATTACTTTAGTACTGCTAATATTGTTAATATATAATATTCAAAATTTGAATTTAGTTTCTCATTTTCATCGTAAGTATACATATTTTTTTCAAACTTTTAAAGACTGTGCCCTATTTTCCAAAAGTTTTTTGACACCCCTACTGTATTCCTAGTTGTGTAATAATACTAATGTAGTCTGAAAATATGGTAGAAATTTACAATTTCTAAGAAATAGTTCATCATTTCAAAAAATATAATTTTAAGGAGTGGTTGGGAATTTTTTTTTCTAGGCAGCTTAAAATTATAGATAGCAGTTGAGAGTGAAATTTTATTTTTCGCATATGTATGTTTATTCGGTATTATTCTTTGTAATATGAATCTTTATAATTATAAAAATAAATTAAAAACTATTAAATAAACAAAGAAAAAAATTTCAGCTTTTGACTCAAAAACTGCACAAAATATATTTTGGGAAGACTACTTATTATTATTGTGATTGAATTTGCTTGAAAAAAATTAAATCATATATTAATATGTTTAGTTTCTGCATGAATTTTTATCCTATTGCAGCATTGTATTCGATTATTTGTCTCCATTAGTTTGATGTATAAACAGTAGAAATAAAATATTATTTGACCCTGAAACAATGAAAATTTTTTATGTAATATTATTTAAAAGAAGAAATTCTATTATTCATTTTGAAATGAAATAATCGATAATCAGATATATTATGAGAAATTGGTTATGGAAGTACTAAAGCAAGCTATCATTTCACGATGAAGAATTTTCTTAAACTTTACATGAATTTTTTTATAAATAATAAGAAGACATTTTAAAATCATCATAAAATTTAACACTTATTCAATATATCTTTAATTCATTATTTTTCATTTATGACTATATTTTTATGAGTATATATTCAAAAATGTCTAAACTTCTGGAAACATATGTACTTTAGATATTTTATGTGTACTCTATTTTTTTTAGACTTTTTAATCGTTTTTCAGAAATATTTTACCCAGATGAACATGGCGGTAAGTGTCTTTTACTTAATCGTACTGTAGATGGTAGTCAATAGTGTTCAAGGTTACATTCAACGAAATGAATGTCAGACGAAGTAAGTTATCCGGCTGTGGTCTCATAGTAACGACATTGTTTCCAGTAAAACACCGAAGTCAAGCATCACTGGCTGTGGACAGTAAGCAGGTAGAGCACACTTTGATCAGCCTACGTGTGCGGTATCGGCCCTAGTTAAACTGTTCTACCATAAAGTACTAGGTCATTGTGCGCGAAGGCAGTTGGGCTATTTAAGCAAAGGAGCAATCCCTTCTGCTGATTATAGAGATTCTGAGGAGATGTCTAAGGATTATTATCATATTTGCCCGGTGTCTGAGTATTTCTTGGTCCTCGGACTGGGGTTGGTTCTGTCAAGGAGATGAGGCATCTTACATTTGGCGTATGGGTCCATAGGACTGGGTCGCTGTATTAAATTCCTTTGTATTATTCTTAGGGATGTATCCCAGAACGTCGCGAATAGCCCATTGAGCATTTCTAGAGCGACGTAATAAAATTCCCACCTACCTAATTTTAAGTGACTTTTTTAAAGTAAATGAGAAAGTGTGCATTGGCTTTAATTTAAATTTGACGATTTCATTCAGACAAAATATTAAGTTTTCGTCTATCTGAGCCATTTTATAAATATATGAGTATAAAACTTTTTATCCCTTCTGTATTTAGATTTAATTTATACAATAAAAGAATGATTTTAAATTTTATATAACTACGCTAATTACATGGAATTATAATGTCTCTAAAAATATTTATTTAAATACCTTATACCATTTTTAATCAAATGAATTGAATTTAAAGAAATTGTAGTAATGTTTTTTATCGAAAAAAGGAATAGTAGAATTCTTTAAAAAAATTGATAAAAATTAATGGATATCTAACTAAATAAATAACTTAACCATATAAAAATCATTGGGATAATTGTATGTTATAATTATTAATAAATTTATTAAAAATTATTTGTTAACTTAAATTATATTTTTATTGAGTGCAAATGCAATTCTGTCGAATACATGGCTCAAAATCTTTTAATGTTTAGTAAGTAAATTTTTAAAATAAATAAAAAAAAAAGAATTAAAAAATTAAGAAAGGAGATGGAAAATTGTAGAAACTTGAAATGGCTTTAATAAATTCTCTAAAATTCTCTGTATATAAATTTTTAACAAGAAAATTCTCCTTCATTATTATAAACTTTGAAATATCCTGTATAATACTACCTTACACACGCCCAGTTTCGGCTCAATGCAGGGTAACTGAAAAATCAAACTCGTTTTCATACTTCAGTTAGAACGTGCTATGAAATGATTCCATCATCCTCTACTTACGTTTGTATTTTCATATTTTGTAATCTTCCAAACTTTTTACAAAAATATTTCAAATCCTTTTTTAAAGATACCGGTAAGTATCATTACTTGAATTCACTATTCCCTTCATAAATTATATTTTTATTTTTCCCGCATTTTTCCTAAATTTTATTTTCTATTTTTTTTCTTATTATGTTTTATTTTGTTAAATTTGTTCTATTTTGGTTTCAAGTTTTTTGGTGCTTTTCATACCACTGCATTGATGTATTTTGTTTTGACTATATTAATACAATATTAGGAAGCACTCTTTTTTGCAGATATTTTTGTGTGAGTTTACGACGAGATTATACCTTTGACTTACTTCGTTATCCAACTTTTTTACTTTTTTAAATTTTTGTTAAATATTTACATAATTTTAAAAATATTTTATTTTAATGATTTTATCTTCTTTTCTTTTAAAAAATCTTTGCATATTTTCCATCATGTTTTCTATTAACAACAATGCACAAACACAAAGTAAGTTCTTTCTATCGTAATTGGTGCTAAATTTTCATGATTATCTTAAACTTTAAAATTTTACAGGTGACTTCGACCCAGCGAAAGGTATGTACATATTTTTCTTAAAAAATTTTAACTATATAAATATATATGTAAATATGTATTTGTAAAATATATATATAATACTTCAATTTGCTAAAATATAACCAACCTTTCAACTGCCTACTTTCGGACAAGTAATTGAATTTATAGTTTCCATACGACATCATAATTCTTTACTTAACACTATAAATATTTTAAAAATATTTCTACCGTTTTATAAGAAAAATTGACTATATAGCAAAAGATAAAATTCTTACTGAAATTCAATTAAAAATTTCTGAAATTTGAATAGCAAGTCAAAGGGAAAATTGATGTATTCTTTGTGCTATTTCGTCTGAAGTGAATAAAGTACAAATGAAGTACAAAGCTATACATCCTATATTTACAGTTCTATAAGCAAGATCCTCCTTCAATATTAAAGCATTTTTTAATGCTTAGACACTGAGGAAGAACTAATATTAGATCCGAAAGTATAGTGTGTTTATTTCTAAATATTATTTGTGTATTCGCAATTGGTTCTGCTTCAGTTTTAGAAACAAATTTACTTTATTTGTTTGACTGTTTTGACTAAGCTGTATTAATCGTTTTTTTTAAATTCTATCATGATCTATTTTAAATTCTATCATGATATCAAATGTCATGAATATCTCAAATAAATCTTTATTTTAATGAAAGAGTTAAGTAAAAATAC